GATTTGCACTTCGTATTATTTTTAAAATAAAAATGATGCCTTTTTACAGAAAAACTATTTATTTAATACAGTATTTAAGGTACACTCCCTCCATATGGAATGGTTTTAGGACATTCTGTATAACTCCAATATTGTAAGTATCAACATCATAGTATTTTTTATCCATTTGATTTAGTTTAAAATAAAGAACCATTCCTGATCTCCCAAGATGGTACTAAGAGAGTAAGGGATTTCCGTATTGGCTGTGTTAGGAGAATATTGGACAACCAATTAACTTCTATTCAAATTTCACCGCTACCCCATCGAATTACACGTTATTGGCTATTAATTTTCTAGATTTAAGCTAAAAATTTATTGAACTGGCCTGGTGAACTAGTATATTATATTACAGACACAGAGGAGAATTAAAGTTTCTAAACTTTAATTTTAGCTTCAGCAAAGGCAGCGTAAAAGTTGTGCATTAAAATGTTTTGTTTTAAATCCACACCAAATAATAACAAAAGTGTCCATGAGAACAGAAACTTTACAAAGTTACTTTGGAGGATTCCCACAGAGTGCTGTTCTGTTTATGTTTTAAAAGGTGTTTATTTAAGGAGTTACCTAAAAACATCCGAATAGTTCATATTTTACGACCGGCCTTTTGTGAAAAATGACCGGGGTTCGTAGAAACGTTTATTTCTGAGACAATTAAATTAAAAATATCTATCTATCAGAAAGTATTATATTTTACAATTATTGTCAATACAAAATAATGAAATGGTTATGATCTGCTTCTGAAAATAATTCTATGGAAGTACCTATCATCGTTTTTGTTTTGTTTTATTTATAGAAATCCTACCAAAAAGCAGCACATCCTACAAAGAGATTTTGCTTTCGGCATTTTACAAACAAGACAGCTTAAACAGCAACCGAACTCCTTTCATAATTACCTAAAGGAATTAATAAAGAAGCAAAAGATGTTTATAACATTAATCATTAGCTATCACCAGTTGTAAGCTGGTTAAAGATTTTCCTTGGGAAATGTAAAATAAGTAAAGGTTCGATGTTTTCCAACATCAATTAATTTATTTTGATAATGTAGTCTAGAGGCGAATGCACAGACATGATTCATATTCACTGTCAATAGTTTTATAAACTTATTAGTTAAAAATAATCATAAAGACTACAGGTTTGTAAAATAATATCTGTCCCTTTTTTATTCATTATATGTGTATTATTATTACAGTTTAAAGTTGCTTAAAACTTTCGAAAATCTATGTTCCTACTGTTTCTCGACAGATACCCAATTGGGTAGCAGGAGTTTGGTAATTACCAAACTCCTGCTAAATGATTAGTCTTTGAAATGCCATTACAGAAGTTCCTAATTAAGCCATGATGTTTGATAGTTTAATTTTTACTTAAATTTTTTAGAGAATAATAGTAGAGTTAAATTTTGACAAATGTTTACTTTTCATATAGTATTTTAACTATAGATCATATAGTATTTTAACGATGATCTACCGGGCGATAATTTATTTATTAATTTTGCTATATATGATTATATTTTCTCTGTCCTTATAAGTATTATGTAATGTGTTAGCACTATAAATAAATTTAACCGTATAGGGAAATTGTTAAATATTTGCATATTTAAAAAATAAGCGAATATGCCGCTTTTTCATGATATACATAGAATTATCATGACCTGGTGAATTGTATAATCAGATGATGATATTAATGTAGGTATATGCAAAGTAACTGTCCGACTAATCCATTAACGCACAAGCGAAATTGGTTGGTCTGACTAGAAGTTTGAAATTTGGCACAAAAATTCCATTATTAAGGGAGTACTATGTAGGAATTTATAAAATTCTTACCCTACTGGAATAAAAGTTTGTAAGAAAGGTTCGTCAACTTTGAACAGAGAAATCTGAAAATTAATAGATGGGCTTAGGTTAATAATAAAACTTTACTGTTACCTCTGTTTTGAAATTTCGTCCCTGTGTTAAATCAAGGGGTAAACTCTTATAAGTTTTATTCATTAAGCATGTAACTGCTTGATGTTTAAATCTAAATAAAATATAACTAGAAAAAAATCCACGTGGACCAGGCAGCAGACGGGACTCGAACCCGCACCCTTCGCTATCCGGGAGATAATGGGTTACCTACAATGCGAAGAAATGGCGCTGCCTTGCAGCTTAAGAATGGCTAGAAGAATTTCGACGCTTCCGTCAGGGCTGCGGTAGCATAATTGGTCAGTGCATTCGCACGGGTAAACTATTTTTATAATTTCCCGGGGGCATACGAACAGAACCTGATGTTAAGTGATCACCATCGCCCATAGAGAATAACCAGGAGCATCACAAATGAGATGCCAGCCCTTAAGGAAGAAGTACGGAGCTTTTTTGAGGTTTTCGGGTCGTATTGGACCGGAAGCACTGCTGGCGACAATTTCACAGTTTTGTCGTGCGTGATAAGAAAATTCGACAAAATCGTATGGTTGTAGCCAGCCACTCATCAAATTGATGGGGATGAAATTATGGTGAAAATTTTATTTATAGTAAGTTTTTAGATACTGTTTCGACGATATGCATAAAGTTAAGTAGAGTTTAACGATTGCTGTAACTTAAATTTTAAACCTTGTACGATGATACGGTTAATATTTAGTTAATAAAATTATTTGTTTACTAACGACATTTTGACAAGAAGTAGAGCATCGTGCGGCGTCTTAAGAAAGAAGAAAGAAATAACTTTTATTGGCCTTAAACACATATTTACATGAACAGAACACAGCAAGACAGGCCTTAATATGAACACCAAAAACAATAACATGAAAATTACCAGTTTTTAAAAGTAAAATGTGATCAATATTATTTGAAGTTAGTTTGATAGTCATTGTTTTCTATAATAAAACATATTATTTTATCTGTAAACCTACTATGTCCAACCTGATATGTATAATTTTATGAATTCAAATTCGTTTTATAAAACAATGCACTGTTAAATATATCATTTCTTGAAAATATACTCACAAAAAAGCCTAAGCAACATGTACGGTTTTTAACTTTTGAACTATTTCATATAATACTATTATAAACATAATCGTCTAGATTCAGTCAAGTATATTTTTGTGAACAAATAATATATAAATTTAACATCAATTAATAAAAACATACAGTTTCTGTCAATGTTGGTTATTGCTTAGACTTTTTTGACGTGTGTACGACAAAATTTCACATATTATACGCATGTTTGCTTACATAAAACAAATATTAAATTCATTCGCTTGAGCTTTAAATATTATATGCTGTGCGTCATACTATCGTAGGTCGATCGATCCTAAATTTGTCATAACTTAAATAGGTACTGACCTAATACATTTTCATAAGCATTTAATTGCTTTAACTTGTACTTATATAGTACAAAGGTTAACATATGTTAAAGTTACAGTGTTATTATCATAATCAAAAGGATCTTAAAGACACTTAGAAAATAAAATCTTTTATGACAGAGAGAATGAGACATAGTTAGATAAATAGTGCTTAAGTGTAAAAATGAACCGGAAAGTAAAATAAATAAATATATGTGTGACCCAGTATCATTAGCTGTGTTATGTTATTCTATGGTTAAGCTGCGATTTGGCTTGCGAGTCACTTTTTAAAATTTAAATAATTAGGTGGGTAAACAAAATTTCTTTTAAAAAAATGGATTGATTGAGATTTTTACCCATGTTTTAATGTCTCTGCGTGTTTTTTTTAAATGATTTTGCAATAGATTGATTGTTTTTGCAAAAGATGGAAAGTCGAGGTATGTGTTTCAAAATTATTATTGCATGCATTGTAATTTCAGCAAGTGTTGCTTCAAATTAATCTTCAACGTGTGTTTTGATTATATTTATCGTTATTATGTTTATCGTTCAGAATTATTATATCGTTTGGAAAAGCATATTTTTTAAAGAAAATTGGAATTGTAGTTGTAAGAAAGGTATAGCGGATTTTCCGCCTGAATGGAGGCGCCAGTGTGGGATAGTACCTGCATACTACAAAACAAGAGAGCTCAATTGAATAACACTACCTTTCTAGACTTTGTATTTTTATATTGTATTATTATATATATTTTAATTTGGCTGGGGAACGCCAGAAAGAAACATTTTTAAATATTAATAATATATAACTACATAATATTCTACAGTTTTTTGTACCAAATCTAATTTCGTATCAACAATAAAATAAAAACAGAGCGTTTCCATTAACATGTAAGAAGAAGAAGAAATTAACCACTTTGTATTTATAATAATCTATATGTTTTTAGTAGAATATTAAATATATTCCCCTATCCGGCTAGATATTTGGTTTTCTACTGAATGTGGGTCAGAATCCCGTCTTAAACCTGGACCGTATGTTTTTTTTTTCTAGTAAAATTTTGTTAAGATTTAAACATCTAGCAGTTAAATCCTTAAAAATAAAAATATAATGGAATACCAAATAGTTTTGCACAAAAGTAACTTTCATCAGCCCAGTTTTATAGCTTCTACTATGGACGAGTTTCCACGACTAATTACAAGAATTGGCTTAATTACGATAATGGATAGTGAATCATTACTTCTTTCCTGTTTGTGATAATTTTATATGCACGTTCTTTTTTCATTTTCTCTAATAGGCCAGTAGGTACAAATAAATTTTCATAAACCTATTTTAAAACCAGTTTTGTTTTTATTTGAACTTTAGCTTTAAAGTTTCTTACAAAAACTTATAATATATATAAGATTGATACAAAATAAATGCATGAAACCAGCTTTTGGAAGTAAAAACAAAAGACTTTTCAAAACACCATACATTAAAAAATCATTGAAAATCTTCTCGTGAAAGAAACATTTTATAAACTAATTATAATAATCCACAACAATATTGTCGTCGTACCTGAGTAACGAATTATTTTTTACTCATAATAAATGATACAGATTCAAAACAATAACAAAAGATTAAAAACAAAATTCGCATCGAGTTTTTAAAACCACTGACCTCTTGACTTTATTTTTGAACCAGGTGATACAGCCATTGGAGAGTTCAGGTGCTTGCGCCGTGAGCCTGGGCGGCGCGATGTTGATGACGGTATACACGACGATGCATTGGTAATCCATAACACGAACATGTCCTTAGGGCGCGCAAGGTTGTACTGACCAAAGCCGGCAGCTTACAGCGCGGCCGACGAGTTTTGGTCGGCCTGAAGTTTGTTGTTGGCTGCGCAGTAGTGTATTTTATTCCAAAAAAATCCAGTGCGCAGCCTGATGGCTGACTTCAGGCCGGCCAAGATTCGCCGTCGGTGCTGTACGCTCGTTTACGCGCGCCGCGGTACCACGTCGCGTGCCACACGACGACGGTGCGCGCGCGCTCCTTGCCAACTTCTTGGGAGACGCTGCGTCAACGCAAGTCGCGGCCTTCGTAAACCTGCACGTTTATACTCTCAAATAGCGTACATATTCCACACGGTCTATCGACGACGTCGGCTACATGCGCGCGCGCCGCCAAAACACTCCAATGACAATAAAACTCTCTCGTCCGTCACGTTCTCAGACTTTTCTTTACATATTTGTGTTTTCTTAGATCACTAAATTTATTGTAGTAATAAAAATCACAAATTTAACCGTATTTGTCTATTTATAAAATGTTTTAATTGAAAGCTCATTTGAAGCAGTTCTGTTCAACACGATCAGCTGTTGAGACGGATCAGCTGTTCGATGCTTATCGCTAGTTTATTTTCATGCATCGGATATTGTTTACATCGCGACGCGGAACTGTCATAGGGTGTTGGTTACGGTTTGAATTTTTTTTGCGGCGCGATGTATCTGTGATCGCAAAAAGTTGGTATCGAACAACCGCATCACAAAACTTTTTGAACGTCAAAAAAATGTTTACGTGTGTCTATTAAGCGTGCATGTGCGGAACTGTGATATTGATTTGCGTGGGTGGCTAGCGGCAGCGACGGCGGCGTGGTGACGCGACGGGCGCTCGACGCGACTGCCTCCACCCAGGGCTTTTCTCGTCGGAAACTGAACTCGTCACCGCCCCCGGCTCTCTCCGTCTCCTGTCACTCAACACAATAATCAGTCCACAGAACGTAATACACAGCTGACTGACAACAATCACAACTGTCACTACGGTGACACTCTCTTTACGATTGCGATGAGGTCCACCCTTGCCCCGCATTGTTCTACTGACCTATTTTCTGCAAGTCCCATTATTTAATAGAGCGTTGTTAGGACTCTTGAGAAAACCTTTTGTTAATGTATTACATTACATGGCGTATGATGGATAAAATGGAAAATTCATGAAAACATTAATACGACAATACAAAGAGGCCTGCTGCAATGCAAAACGTTGATATATTTAATTATTGTGATAATATAAACTCGTGACGATTTTTTCACTGCAAAATGTTTTCAAATTTAATTTTATTGTATCTCAATTCATTAAAGTTATAATTTAATTATTTCGGTTACACTAAATTATATTAACTTTCTTTAGAAATTTACCTTAACCGGTTTTAACTGGATTTTAATACCAAATAGGTGACACACAAAATTTTCAATGTTAAAAGCTAATTTTATCAACTGCTGTTGTCGCTCACTTGCCAACTTTCATACGATTTTGACAGATACGCAAGTAGTTATAATTAAATTCAAGAAACACTGCCAAGGACTTCGGTTTAATATACGGAAGAATATCTTCCGTATGGCTTGTTGCTCGCTGCGATATTGATAGAGTATTTATAGAGGAATATTGCACATACATCAGTCGTAATGGTCTGGCAGAAATTAAAACTGTTGCGTCTAAATCATTCGAGCCATACATGACCTAATTTTGCACCGTTGTAACGTTTTATTTAAAAAAAAAACTCCATTAATATTTTGGCATCTTGCCTAAATCAATTCCAAAGACAGCCGCTTCGGATGTTATGTTTCGCCTCGCTGATGACTCTAGATAGCATATTAAATTGCACTAAAATAAAGTTGTTTCAGATTTTTACTGCCCTTTAATATGTTAACGTATTCATAAATTTAGATTCTTATTTTAGTTTTTCTTTCTAAATTGTGCTTACGCGTACTCAGGCTTTCATTCAGAATACAAAAAAAACTACTCTAAAGCCAAAGAATGAATGATAATTGATTTGTATATTATTCTAGTTAACTACTTTTTTCTTTAACAATCTAGGAATTAATTATACTCCTTTAAAAACCTGTCCTGTAAAAATAGAATATATAAATATAAAAAGTTAGAAATGCCTAAAAAATACTATAGCAATGCAATGTTACAGTTATTACTGTACCGGTATTATTCAAGGCTGAAGAACATTTGGTAGTTGCGCTTATGGTTGGGTGGGCCCAGACATCAAGACGTGTTCAACCTAGGGTTGCCAGATGCTGGCTTATCCATTCCGAAACATTTGCACCCCCCCCCCTGAAAAAATTAAGCATCAAATCACACCCCCCATCACCCCCCAGAATTAACACATTAAGCAGTTGTTTTTCAGATGCTGGCTTATCAATTCCGGGACATTTGCACCGCCCGCCCCCCCCTGGAAAAATTAAGCATCACATCAAACCCCTCATCGCCCCCCAGAATTAACATATCAAGCAGTTACGAAACTAGCACATTATCGGGATCCGGGACAGCAAAGTCTTATTACTGGACCCGCTTTGAGCATGGATGATGTTAAAATATTTAGGTACAGAATAATATTATCTAGCACGAGTATCTAACAGTGCAGTGGACGGTCCTAGACTGTCTAAAGTGATTGTTTATTTTAAAATAAACGTGTTTTTATAGGCATTTTTTTTTTTCAAAATAATGATTATTTTGATAAAGAATAATCAATAAGCATGATATTTATCAATTGAAAATATAAAGATCATAAATCAAAACGCTTTCTTGGGAAGAATTATTAAAAGAACAAGAATAGGCAATTTCAATGTGTTTGCCACTGATTGGGCTCATCATCATAATCAGTCGATGGACGTCCACTGCTGTGCATAGGCCACCTCTAGGGATCTCCAAGAACAACGATCCTGACCTTTCCGTATCCAGTGGGCCTCCCGACTCGCTTAATGTCATCAGTTCACCTGGTAAGGGGTCTACCGACACTGCGCTTTCCGGTGGTAGGTCGCCATTGAAAATTCCAATTTCATTACGGTAAAGGTAACTTTTTAGATTTGATTCTTGTAATCTAACGATAATTCTTTTTTGATGAAATTATTTTTATGTTTGGCCTGGGCATTTTTATGGACCGTGCCCTGTCTCCTTTACTTATGAGCTTAAAAGAAAACATGACGTTTTCTTTTAAGTTCATAAGTTTTTCCTACAATGTTGTTGTTTGAATAACGTTTTTCCGCTTTTCCCCTCAAATTCCACCGACATCCATTAGTAAAAGAGACACCTTAAAATTGGATTGGTATGTAATCCCCTTTAATGTCAGTATTTTCCTTGTTCTTGTTTTGCTTTGAAATATATTTTTTATATACTTTACCTAAACATTAATATCGTATAAATAAAACGGTAAAAACAGCTGTGAACAATAAACCCCCCATAAAAATTTTCATTCATACAGTTTATAAAATATCCTATAAATTTGCATATATTATATGCCTATATTAGTATATAACATAATACGGAATTATTATCCGTTTATAGTAGTTTTATTTGAATTAATTTATGACAATCATATATGTTAAGCTTATTTTCTTAGGATCTTCCAATACACAAATACCCAGCTAAACCCAAACACATGCATCCATATGCATGCATGTTATTTTTTTGACATCGTTTTATACGGGCAAAATGGAGAATTGTGTAATTTTTTTATTCGTTTACATTTAAAATATTTTATTCGTTTATAGAGCAAAGCGAAAATTTCTAACATAGTATAGTAGAAACACAATTTAAGATTTATCTTGTAATTGAATATACTTCTATATGTACTGTATATGTATTCTATCCGTTACCCTAGCATCCCATAATACAAGCCTTACAGTGCTTACTTTGGGGCTAGGTTGTTTGTGTGATTTGGTGTGAGTGTTGGAAATATTTATTTTTTTATGATAAGAAGGTCTTAAACAGGCGGGTATACCTTTCTTTCAGAGCCGGCAACGCATGAATGTTACCCTTATGGTACTGCAAGTGTTCATGACTAGCCATTGAGTGGACTGCTAGCTCTTTTGCCTGCATAAACATAAAAAAAAGTGATGCAGTCAGTACCAACGGTCAGCTTACTTAAGCGTGTGTACCATTTTAATCACCTATAGACAGCTTATAATCTGATAGACTAACTGGAAATTTTCCAACAACTCTCAGACGACGACGTTAAATATTACTTGTAACCTCTCTTATTATGACATCGCCCGCTGTCTACCGTTCCAGAGACCCATTTTTCACACCCGTCAATAATGGAATTGTTTTGTCTGCCAAGACACGTGTACCAATATATTTTTATTCGCAATAGTCTTTACTTTAGTCATTCCGGGTTTTTTTTAATTGTCTACCTTATACGGTTCATGTGTAGAGGACGGACAGACCGACAAATCCGAATAAATAAATTCGTTAGAATAACGTTCAATAACTAAGAAGAAAATAAGATTTACTTTTTCTTTTTGGTTATGTACTCCTCCTTCGCCTAATTGAGTCTTTTGATTCCCATTTAACATCATTTGCTCTACTATATTTGGTCTGACCAAAGTTCTTAATTCAAATTATAGCTTAATCGTGTTTATCGTCTCATTCCATTGTTGTCAATTGTTTAATGTCAAAAAGATATAAAATGAGGCTTAAACTCGATTAGTTTTTAAATTTGAAATAAGAACTTTGGTACAATTGGGCCTTAATCCCTAAACATAAGACTAAAGGTCTCTGCCGACTACACCGTTTCATACCATGAACGTGCTAGGACCGTATCAAACACGGAAACTGACACGAAACGGCTTGCTATGCCCACTGAAACGGATCGACGACGTATAATGCCCGTATGCAACCCGTATGTTGCCTTTGCGTAATTTGTATGACTTCTTCACCAAAATCGATAAGAAGCCGTTTCATTCTTACATGTGTATCGGTAATGAATGGACGTCTGCGGAGTGCTATCAAGTTTTAAATACAATAGGTATGGATATTAAAACATTAACTGTTAGACAACTGGCAATGATTGCCATAATATTAGACGAGGAAGAAGAACAGAATCAAAAAAACCACTCGACGCTACTGGATTCACGATTCTATAAAAGAACGAAAAACTGAAGCAGAATTTTGGACGTTATATAAGCACTTAGTTGAAGATGTAGAAAAGTTCTTTCAGTACTTCCGGCGTTTAAGACGCCTATATAACGGTCGTCATAAGCGGTTCTAACCCGTATAATCACCGTTTTGTTGCCTGCGCGCATCGGTTTTGCATCGTCGCGTGCCATGCGCGGAGCGTATCGGCACCGGCAAAATATTCTCGCCGACAATAGTAGCAGCTCCGTGCATGGCACGCGACGGTACTGGTCGGTGACGGAACGGGCTAGTGGGCATTGTCTCATACTTTTTAATACAAAGAATATTTTTTTGCCTGACACGTTCATAGCACGGTCATGGTATGATACTGTGTAGTGGGTAGAGACCTTAAACTAGACAGCTGTATATAATTTTCATTCTACATAGAAAAGTGCTTCCGAGAACGTTTGATCGAAATTGAAAAAAAAACCGTAAAGAATACGCACGGTATCATGTATGGAGCGTGCGTAATGAAAATTTACCGCAAGCTCCGCTGTATGGCCCGTAATTTTGAATTTTCTAACAATGTATACAACCTTCGTAAATGCATTTTTTGAGCACGTGTGTTGAAAAAACTTTTCTAATGTTTTGTGCTACTTTCAGTTACATATGCCGATTCGGTCAGCTCGGGGGTAGATTTACCGCACTTAAATATTTATGTGAGAGTGTGAGTTAATGATTAAGGGATCTTATTTATTACTAAATGGGTTTAATATCGATATCATATTTACTCTTAGACTGTATCGATTTTGGATTATTACCAGGCGTTTTAAGTCATAAGTCTCTATCATGAGCCTCCGCTTATTTCTTCTGCCTGTCAGCAAGTAGTGTCTCGAATGTTGAAATTTTTACACTATAAATCCTTTGTTTTATTTCTTTGGTAACAAATCAATACCCCTGTAACATAAAAAAATAAGACCTCAGATCTAATAGAAACTATTATTTTGTGCGTTTTCGTTGACCTTACCAATTGCTCTACTTTAAATGTTAATACTTGAACATAAACCTCTTTGGGTGTGGTGAATGCAAAATGCACCTCTACATTTATTTTTAATTTTTATTACATTAAGTAACATGAAATTAATATGATAAAGGCAACATGAAATTAATATCCACTAATAAAGGCGAATAATAACAACAGAGTCCCAACGGTAAGTACTAATTATAACTTTTCTTCAATGCCCCGCGGGTGATTGCAGTAGCTTTCCAGTTTGATTGTTCCTTATTTATTACCTCATCACAAACTTTAATTAATGTTCTTTCGCTGATGAGCACTTACTGGTGATAATCGAGCTGAATGAGAACTATATTGAGTTAACCTCTTTTCTCGTCTTAACATAGCATTACATAAAAACACATATTATGGTGGTTTCATATACAATTTTATAAGTTTGTACGTTTTTCAGTATTAATAATTTTCTGTAACTATCCTACTAAAATGATTAATGTGAGAGTTTTTCATTCAATCACACACAAATTGGTTTGGGTGAATAATGTCACACGTTTAGTTTATTACTTGACTGTGATTTTTTAATCGTTCTCTCATTACTGAGGTTCGTCAACACTAATCTTTACATTCTTTACGATTCATCTCCACCGATCTCTGTCCAAGGTTGCTCTCACTGCCTGATGAAATTTCTTTGATTAAGTTGCTGCTCTCACTCGATCAGACCATCTAATTGGCAAACGACCCTGGGCTCTCTTTCCCTCTACTCCACCAGCTTTGTAAGACTTTTGCCTCCTCTTCGCATTATGTGGCTATGAAATGTGTATGAAAGTACGTGAGCCAAACAGACGGTTTATAGGCGTGTTTTGATGTTCAATTGTGATAGAATAGATAAATTTGTGCGCGCGGCTGTTCAGGGTAACCTAAGAATTCGTCTCCAACTCCATATCTCGAATGCATGTATTCTTTGTTTTTCCTGACTAGTATTGATACGTTTCAACTCCAATCAAGAAAATAGGAAAAAATCTGGGATTTCACCAAACGAGTTTGGAAACTCAGGCTGAAATTTTTCCAGAGCACTTGAAGGCGTGTCGGTTCGGCTGCAATCTTTGAAGTTAAGCAACTTTCACTTTCACATGGGTGACCAAAAATTTATAATCTCGAGCTCCGCTGTGCTTCGGAAGGCACGTTAAGCCGTTTGTCCCGGCTGCATCTGCAGTTATTAGCACTTGCCAATACGCACTGCGCCCGCGTGGTGGGTCATGGCCCAATATCCCTATTCCATCCATAGCGAAGGCCTGTGCCCCAGCAATGGGCAATTAATAGGCTGATGATGATGATGATGATCTTCACTAGATTTGGTGACTAGTACAGTATCATAAAGGACTGAGAAAAAAGATAATTTTTGTTTTGTCTCGGAAATAAACTCTGTGAGTCTCGCTAGTGATTATTTAAAAGCAATAGCTAATTTACGTTATAACTTATGCCTTGTTTGTATATATGATTAGACGTTATTTTGGGCCGCTCGGATCGTTAAATCATCTCGTTTTCGATAGTGTACAGCTTCCAACCAGCGGCGTGGCAGCGTGGTGTGGTTTATAACATACCAGTTTACGTTCCAAACGTTCGGTCAGACATACGTTATGTTCGTCATCAATTTATTTTGAGCTCGTTACTGACTCCGACAATTTCTTTGATGTGAGGTCGGCGTTGGCATGTCAGATACCCTTTTATTACAGAAACATGTGGGCGATTCATTAAAAATGTTGCGGGTATAACATCGATTGCAGCGTTGTTACGCAAAAGTGAAACATACTTTATATGAAAATCGATTACCTAATCCTGCTATAATATAGAAATCGTAGCAGCCCTATCGTCCCTCTACGACAACGGCTAACTAGAGCCGAGGTCCGAGTCTCTGAGGCGCCCTATAGTTGAGCCGACCCTCTGAGGTTCGAGTGGTCTAGAGGCTCCTGACGGAGAGGAGACCCTCCGTGGGGAGATGCCATTCGCCTGGAATACCTCTAGAGGCACTCGCCAATTCTCGGCTTGAGGCCCCCTTGGGATCTCGCTGTCCCCAAACCCGGTGACGCTGTAAAGGTCATCTGTGACCAACAGCATACAGACTCAAAAAAAAAAGCACTATGGTATGTTACCGCCCTTCTCAAGCAGAGAGTCAGTTTAGAACAAAGCGTAATTTCTGTCAGGATCATTGATGTCACATTCACGAGCCTACTCACGCAGTCTCTAGGAGAATTTATTACGCAACCTGAGAGACACGTGTTGTTTAAATGAATAACGGTTATTTTTTGATGTGTAACATCTTTCCTCTCACTTTCCTACAATTTGTGGGAGTGATTTCGTGAAATGGGACGGAAGTGTGTACCAGGAAGTCGAGAAAGCGCGCGCTATTTGATTTGATTTTAGAACATAATGTTCAAATGGCTTATTCCTTTTGTAATAGGTTTTTTTTTACTATTATAAGGTGAGGTTTCAAATGTTACACATCATACGTACCTACTGTAAGGATCGCTCGTTTTTCATTTTCAAGGATGGCGTGGCAGAAGTGGTCCTTCAGGCTTCATGTGTTAAAAAAGTGAATAGACTGTCAAGAAACGAACTTTAAAGTTAAATGTAAGTTAAATAACCGGAAAAGTGTGAGTCAGACTCGTCCACCGAGGGTTCCGTAGAAGGTATCTTTTTTTTTACGTTTACTTTCACAGCTACTAGGGCCCATAGACCTGAGGATATGGTTTAAATTTTACTTAATATATCCAGGCGTTCCCGTGAAAAGGGATCAAGACATACTGACAGATAAACGGCCATACCTTTTTTTACTTTAACTTCGAAGCTTGATTTTATCACAGTTTTTAGGGAGCTTAGATTTGAGTATATGGTTTAAATTTCAACTCGATATTTCCATAAGTTCCTGGGACAAAGGGTCTTAACAGACGGACACAAAGTGATTCAATAAGGGTTCCGTTTTTTCCTTGTGATTTACAAAACCCTAAAAATAAATATCTATGCAGGCATACTTTATGTGGAATATATTGTGAAAAAATTCCCTCGAAGTCAATATTTTTGCAATGGCAATTGTAATTTTTTAACTTTAATATTTATTTTTACTATAGTCCTATAAAGTCAGAAATAAAATTTCAGTTTAGATGAACCTTCACATTTATTTAGGAATAAACACTTACTTAGCTACTTCGCAATAATATTATTTTCATGTTAACTCTTATGATAAAAACAATTGAAGAATAAATATTCTAATAACGAGTTTAGTTTAAACATGAAGGATGAATGCGATACTTTAATCTATTTATTGTCTAAAACATTTAACGAGTTAAGATAACATGAATATTTAAGAGAAATGAAATCTATAAATTTGCAATTGAGACTGTATGCTCGTAGATTTATGCTCTAATTTCCATCTTCTGGCTTAGGCGAAGCGCCTCTATCGGAATTCGGCGTGCTTCCTCCAGATGTACTTTGCGGGCTTCTCTCATTCATCTGTAACAAGGGCACAAGAGATTTCAATACTGATCTTTTTAACGAAAAACTCATAGAAGCACAAATTCTAACTATTGCGTTTTTTTTTTCAACATCGCACTTATATACGAGATATTAAGAGATAGGTTTAAAGAATTTGGAATAATGAGAGTCGCATCACAATTCATATACGAAAATTTATTACTTGTAAGAAAAAATATTAATTTGTTTCTTAAAAACAGTGATGTTCACACACATATTACAAGAAACAAAAATAAACTAACTTTACCTGCTACTGGCCGGCTTCACAAAATCAATAATTCGTTTAAAGGTTTTTGTGTTCGCTTATACAATAAAGTCCCAAGCAATATCCAAGAGTTGACCATAAATAAATTCAAAGATAGTATAAAAAAACACTTATTAAAAAAACTTATTACAAAGTATCTGATTATATTAAAGATAAAATGCTTGGGTGTGAACTGTTCCGATCATTCCAACGGGTTTTCAATATCAAATAAATCATGATTGTATTGACGTTGTAATAAAATGATGATTTGTAAATGTTGTTACATTATACTTTTAATGTTGTGGAGTTTTTTTCGCTCGTTTTTCTCCGCAGCTAAAAAATATGTCCAATAACGAGTGGTAGGGAAAAATATGTTTGGATGATTCAAAAGTGTTGTACTATACATCCAATTTGAATAAAGATATATTGCTTTCTGATTTCTTATTAACAATTATCAAATGTTTGGGAATATGATTAAAATTTATAATTGCTTTTAAAAGCGTTTTGTATTTTCATGAATTCTCTGAAAACAGATACAATGATAATATAGATAGAGAATTTGAAAACAGACAGGAGCTGAAGTAAGTACTGAAACTACTCGTCATGCATTCGACAGGAGCACACATACAATCGTGCATGTTTTATTAAAAGAATGAATGAATGATAATTTCATATCAGAAATACAAGTATTTCACGAAATAGTTGATCAAATTCAAGGAGCTATGAATTCTGCGATCTAAAGCCACTGAAATTTTCACTCAATATGCACCGGTTGACCGTTACAACTATTACCATTTTGGTAGTCTAAAATTCTACAACTTTAGTTGAATAGATTAAACACCGGTAAAGGTAACAAACATGTACTAAGGTGATTCCGCGAAATGTAGATTTAGCGATTTACAAATAACGGGAATAACAGTTAAAACCCAGTTCTTCCAGTCGCAAACCAATCCCAGTTCGCAAACAAAGTAGTATTAGTATTAGAATCACACAAGTAAAAAAGGTTCAGAGGCAAAGCTGCATGCAGTGCTCAGTCACCCACGTGCGTGTCAAATAGACTATTTGACAGTATAACAAATAAAGTATCAATTATTTGGCATATGTATATAACACGAATATTGGGAGCGATTGCACTAGTCTGATAAAAAAGTAGTTGAAAACATTACTAAAAATCATGAAATTGAAAAGTATTTATTGATCTGTTGTCATCTACGCCTAGGATTGGAGGAGCCTACAATGACGTCACCTGCTTGTAAACATGCTGTCGAAGTGTCATCTGCCTGAGACGCCATATTTGCTATAGAAACGTTTTCGAGGTATATTTGAAAAGAAAAAAAAAACTTTTTTTTTTACTGATAAACACAGCAGAATTACAAAATATAATGTCTACTTTATATGGAGTCTCTAATAAATAATGTATGAATGTTTTCAATTACTTGTCAAATAGCTCATTGTATGAAGCTCTGCTTCTGTACTTTCTTTACTTATGTTTTTAGAACTGTGACCGAATCAAAGTACGAGCCAAGCGAGCGAAGCGCAATAACAAAAGCCAAAGTTTGTTCAGCTGTCAACATAATATGAAATCTTCGCTCTTCCATAATGAAGTCACACCAAGTCGTCGTAATGTATGATAACATTCAGTGGTATATCACCAAGAATGACAAGAAAATTATCAATGAGGAACTCTCAGCTGCAAGCTTTTTAGATATTCTGACATACGAAAACATTATTTCTGTTTAGGAGGTTTGAGATGGACTTCGTTAAGTTTGAGCTTCAGCATAGGAAAGTTGACAGTTAAACATTCTATTTTTTATTTCTTTCCAACCTAGTATAAATTCTTATTATATAAATTGTTATTTATATAATAAGAAAACAAAGAGTTGAGGTAGTTTTTTATGTGAACAATTTCTGGAAAACATCATAACAATGTACTCGTAGGCACTTTTCTTTATAAACATAGCCTTTATAATTTAAAAAAAGTTTAGCTTAAATATTTTATGAGTTCAATTTTGTATAACAAACAATAACCCCGAAAAGAGCCAAGTCCTCTCACAAGATCAACAGGTTAGCAAAAAATTATGTATTGACCTCTTGAGATTGATGTAGTGGTTCTGTATTAATTAAATTTATAAGAAAACTCTGACATTATGCAGACCTTGTTATTAGAAATAGCCGTACTATGTTAGATATTAATGTATACTACTAAAGTATTTTTATAAACTTAGGTACTAAAATATTGCAAATTATAGAATACCTAGTCTAATTTAGTAAACAACTGGGGGAAAAAAATAAAAAAGCAAATAAAACACAAATGCAGTAACAGAAAAAAACATTTATTGAAAAAAAATCACAGGGGTGAGACATTAAAAATACTTTTGCCCTAATTTTGAAGAACGTCCAATCGTATCATATCATCAAAAAGATGTGTTGGCGGATGGATTTCTATCTTCATCTAAACAGATTTCTTTCAGTAAAGCATACAAGACCATGTTTTATTCATTTTATAAACTTCTGAAGGGGTATTGGGTGTAAGTGGAATTCCGCAATGCGGCCCCTAACAGGGAAGGATCAAAGAAAAGATTTCCTGTAACGACGCGCTATTACTGCGCCAACCAACGTACTCAGAAACTCGACTCAAAACCGAAAACACTTCGACCTTAAGTGAGAGTAATTAAATCTAAATCAACGGTCGAGTGGCGAAAAGGTCGCTTTGATCTGAAATGATTTAAGTTATTATAATATACAACGTTTACTCTCCAAATACTGCCTTTTTTGGAACGAAGTTCCTTTTAGGGCGGTATGACGGAGCTAGGCGAAAAATAATTAAGTTTTTTCTGTCACAACCTATCCAGGATGCCGCCTGGCTGGCAAACCACCACTGACGGCGCGGCGGTGGTTGTGAACTTAGTTGAAAGTTTTAGACCTGGAGTGGTGAGCGAGAGTTATTGCGAGGAAAGTATACTGCAGCGCAATAACAGGTGATAGGTCTAGTAACGCAAGCAACTTTCAGCTACGGTGGTCGCTTACCACCAAAGAAGGTATTTAATAAAAACAGATATTAACCTCTGTTAATTGTCGTGCTCAAAAAACATGTTTTATGCGCACCTCGCCAACTCAGTTCAGGTAACAAAAATGCACTTAGCACGCCGCGCCAAACATGTGCCACGTACACCTGCCGTTATCCCAAATATAGACAAGATTTCTTCACGTGTGACTATCGTATATTGTGTCACGTGTGCATGTAAATGTTTGGCTCTTTCTATGAAGCTGTCTCTTTGGTTGGTATTATGTGGTTAAGATCTGAGAACCGTTGTCACTGCAGGATTACAAAACCACAGATCGACCTTTTGACTACTTTCCTAGACGAGTGATTTCTTTTGAGCTTAGGTCAGGTTAGGTAACCTATTAGAACTTCCTTTTCTTGATAAGATCAGTTATTTTTATAAAGTACCTAAATGATGAATTTCTTTTCGATAAGAAGTTAACACAATAATGAAGTCAAATTTGATAAGGCGCATACACTTAAGCTAGCCAAAATCGAATCTAAAAGAACCCAAATCGATGAAGAAAAGTAGGTACTAATCCAAGCTATCTCTGTGTAGTAAGACGTGTTGTCACTCATCATCAGTAATCATGCTACTGAGAAACACTAACTAAAGCAATCATTATAATTAACTTCCCGAAATCTCTTTGAAGATAATATTATAACGAACAGTACCTACAAATTATAAATCAACATCACGGGATCTGGGAATTATTAATAACATTTATTTTTCAAGAAACCCAATCATACAATGTTCGCAAGCATTTTAGGAATTCTTTGAAGTAACGTTCAAAGCATTAAGGTTTAAACGATATTATGTTCCATGGAAATTTGATTTATTTTTGTCTGTGCTTGAGTTGGTAATGTAATATTTGGAATTCCTTCTTTTTACATTTCTAAAACATCTTTGATTATGGGTTTTCTATTTTAGAATTTAAAGTTTTGAATTCATTACTTAGAACTGTACATTTTTATAGTTTGGTAAAATTATAAATATAATTTTTAACCATAGTTATAGACCAGGGTCTATAATTTTAAAAATGGTAAAAAGTGAAAAAAAATATAGTAGGATGAAACCCATTGGAAAAGGTAGAGAATATAACAAAAATGAAAAGAAAAATAGATTACGGGCGATCTGAGGTCGGGAAGGGGGAGGGGGTGAGTATTTAAGGGTAAAAAACGGTTAATCTCGATTTCCGGAAAACTGCAAGTCCTATGAAAAAAAGTTAAATGGCAAAGTTGTAGGTAATAAAAAGATCATTAAAAGTATTTCTTTTGAAGTAATTGTGAAGGACGTCGGATCATAAGAATATAAGTTGTTTCTTAAAAAACAAGATAATAAAATTTATAAAACCATATTTTTAATATAAATAGTCAAGTATATAAATTTTGGTGAATTTAAGGAACGGAAATAAAAAAAATAACAAAAATAAAATTCCCTTAATTTTATTTTGATAACGTTTCTATTTAAAATAATAACATTATGTTTTTTATTAACTATTCACACATAAAAATTTAACAATCAATACCGATTTATGAAACGAAACTATCATTATAAAAGGATAAAACAATACAAAAAAAATACAAAATTTAATGATTAAATATTTATCACTTAAAAACGTACACATATAACAAAAAAATAAAGAAAATATTTACACAAGTCATATTTACGTCTACACATTTTTCTATTTTATTCAATCTACGAATAATTACAAAGAACTATATACGCAATTTCATAAACCGTTTTCGTTTATCACTTTACCATAACCCATGCCGTCATATTTAAATATCATATAAGCGACCGCAGGCTGCTGCGATGGCTCGTTCGCTGCGCTCGCTCAAAATGTGCTTAGATTTATTCGCAGTTCCAACTAACTTAAACTTATGATATGCCAAATTATGCTTAACAAAGGGATTATGACGGGGTTAATTAAACAAAATTCTATTAAGCCCGTCAGTTAAATTATCAAATAATAATAAACACTTATTTTATCTTCTGTCAGTCAACCAAAAAAATACAAAGATAAAACGCGTTGAAGTTCGTGACGTCAATTCGAAGTAAAAATTGTACCAAAACATGATGTCATGCGAGAAATAATATCAATATATCTCTGTTATGTTTTGATTATGTGAATATAGAAAAAATAGGTAAAATACCAATACTTTTTGATCCCGATACCTAATAGCCGAAGAACAAAAAGTTAGTCTATCCATATTGCAGACTACTGACTCATCGAAATCCTCAATAGTGGATAGTGATAATTTTATTTAGAATCCTTAAAACTAGATAATATATTAAAATTAAAGTGCAACAATCACTAATTGTAAAGACGGCAAAATTTTGTGCTAAAATTATTAATACTAAAACGCAAAACATGTTTAAGCAAAAGAAATTTTAAAATATTAGTAGTAAAAATTAAGTGCAAATTATAAATTTTAAAAATAAGCTTTTAAAAGTGGGAATATTTTATATATTTAGATGATTTACATATATTAATCCACTGAGCAATCAATCACTTTATAATATTATAACATTTAAATTACAATTGTGTAATAAGAAAAAAATATTGTATAATTGAACTATATTTAATATATAGAAGTATAGTAATATAATATAATAGAAGTAACTTAACTTCTATATTCTTATAGTTAATATAATGAGAAAATATACAACATTGTCTTGTTGTGTTAAGACGAAATTCAACCTTGTAATTAGTAAAGACTTCTAAGAATATCAATAAACAGAAATGGATATTTTTTTATACTATTTAAAAAAAATATATTATCATAATAATATAAAATAAACAGTAAGCAACTGAAAAAAATGGAAACATGTTTTCTTCCTTCGACTGAGCTCATGCTAAAGTATCAAAAACTTCTACGGCGCTTATTTATTTTTTCGTATCTTTTCTATCGGTACCTGTAACCCCGTATGCAACATATTCGCAATAGTTTCCACGTCAAGTGTAGAATCTTGGGCTGAAATCTTCTTGATAGCGGATGAGACAATGCAGATATCTCCTCTCAGCTCTCTGACGAGTGCAGTAATTTTCTGGGCGTTGCTCAACACCTCCACGCTTTGTGTGTAGGGGTTGTAGCGTACCCCGCACGGTCGTTGTATGCCTTCAGCGAAGGCTCTGTAAAAGGTAATAAAAAATTAATCGATTTATTTTATACAGTCAGAAGGCACCCTGAGATAGTTGGGGATGAGCCTGATGATCAAATTTTACAAGAATTTTATTAATTTTAAAAGAACAACCTTTTGTAAGAACTTGAAAAACATTACACGTAAAATTTGTTATTACATAAACATTTCTAATTAACTAAAGTCCAAAGTACATCAAAGAATAACACAAATCATTTATTAGTGTTAAAATAAAACATATCAATAAAACAAGATAAAAAGAACATTACATCTACATATAAAATAGTGAAATGTAGTCGTTCGGATGAACCAAATTGAGATTATTGATAAAGATTCAGTGAACAATGTCGTGTCTTTGCCGATGATATATTTTTCTTTAATTCTGTAACGACCTATATATTATTTTCGGTAACGATTAATATCTGTAGATTTGGTTACCTTCAAGATGGTAATGAAATTCCATTTCGGATATGTACTTAAAGGCATCTTTGTATTCTGCAGGCAACTACTTCTGGGCAAAAAGTTTCTTTGATCTTATTTTTATGACTTTTAATCAGTTTTTGATTTTATTTTTATGATTTGGAATAAATTCAAGTCATTTTGATTCCTTTAATTTCATCTTGGTACATTTTATTACCATTTCCTTTCGTACGTTTTATTACATTCTTATTAATCGTCAGATTATATGATGAAGTTATGCATACACAAGTGTGTTCATAAATCTTAAATAACCGCTACCAGTGTTGTTTTCAAAACAAACTCTACAGAAATGCTAACGTGTGTGTGTATATCTACAAGATTTCGTGTTACGGATTTGTAAATATTCAGTAATATTTTCACTTTAATTACAGTGATTTCTCCTATTTTTTAATTATTTATTTTTGAAGGACAACCCCAATATTTACAGTAAATTAAGCTTTTGATGAGAATCACACTAAAGAGGAACTAAGAGAACCGTTTTATTTGCCAGAGTATGCTTGAAATTATGTATAAAATAAATAGATGGGGACACCATACCAAACAACAACTACCTACACAAACACAAAATTGAAATCAGAGCAAAAAAATAAATAACCGATAGTGAGATACGATAAAACGAAGAAATTAAGCTAATTAAAGTTTTTAAATTCCTATATGATCCAATGCTGTCGTTGAAAATATTGATATGGGTGGCTCATGGCGCTATATTTTTTGGATTTTCTAGACGCTGTTGAACTAAATTTAAATATGAAATGGTAAAAATATAACTCAAAATAAAAACATCGATAATTTAGAGTCCAACAAAAGCGATTTGTAATATATTATTCAAATCCTTTGTTTAACATGTGTTGCATAAAATGCTAAAAATTGTGAAAAACATATTATACCTATAAAACATATCCGTTCATTTCTCAAACTATGTGTTAGCTTTATTCATAACGTATTGCAATAGATCCAAGTGGACGGTTTTATTGATTTCTTCATCACACAAGCAATGTAAATAGGGCTAGAAGCATGTTAAAAAAAAACTGTGATAAGTGTTACATCTTCATAAATTGTCACATTTTTCAATCTATATCATTTAATGAAAAATTTATAGACTTGATATTGATATCTTTTGCCGTATAATATTTAGATTTTTTTATTTTTAAATCATTATAATAAATCGTAATCAGAATCAGATCAGAAATTATCTTAAAAAAATCGGCCAAGTACGAATCGGACTCAACCACCATGGATTCCGTACTTTGTCGGCACGCAACGTAAACAGCCGTATATTTTTTTAAGTACACTTAGAAATTTGAGATTTTTAAAGTTATAAAGGACCGTAGACTTGAGTACCTATATGGTTTCAATTTCAATTCGATGCATCCACGCGTTCCCGACAGAGAGACAGTCGGATGGACAGAGGGAAACAATAAGGATTCCTAAATAATCCTATGAGGATTCCGTTTTTTACTTTTTGAGATACGGACCCTTAAAACGACTTTTAACAAACCTCATTTTCTCTTTGGCTTCTTCGAAGGACTCGGTGTAGTAGTAGGCATTTTGGTACGCAGTGATGATGCATTTCTCATTAACAGTGATGTCAGGGTCGAATCGCTTAATCTTGTCAGGGGTCACGAGGGCATGTTGAAGCTCAGCCACGGAGGACAGGAGTCCAGCGCCGTACACGCGAAATGAGCCGTCAGGTTGTCGGCACAGACCAAACTCAACCGTGAAGAAGTAAAGCTAGAAGAAAGAGAAGCGAATTTTGTTTTGATTTCAAATACAAAACGAAGCAAGTAACTTCATCTTGGGAGCCACCGTGTAATACAAGGCTTTCTCATTGAACAATCGTTTCGTTGTATTCGTTGAATCCTATGATGTCATATTAGCTTCAACTAAGTTTCCTATCATGATCAGATGATAGTAATGCCCTAGTGAAAATTAATATTTTATAATATATGTTCATTACTAAGGAGTAAAAATAAATATGAAAATATGGATATTTATAACGAGTATTTACCCTGTAAGTTCGTTAGTATCGCGCAATAGATGTCGAAAAATAGGACAATCCCAAAATTATGTAAATATTGATAGCAGCACTCAGAGCTTAAGAGCATTACTTCAAATATTCTTCGGATGTCTTCATAATAATCATAATCAAAACCATTTATTCACTTTAGGCTGTTATGTTACGAACACTCATGAATGTCTCAAAGCTACGCCAAATGTTCGTTAATTACGGCGGAGAGCCTTGTACTGAAAAGAACCGGCAAGAAACTCAGCGAGGGCTGTTTTTTTCTCGTTGTTTTATTATTTACAGAGATGCCAAGTTAAAAATGACTTCAGAAATGATTCATGAAGTTATCTTTCATTACATTATCAGTGTACCTATATTCAGATCCAAAAGCGATTCAGGGTACTTGCCCTAGATTACCTACCCGTTGTATTGTTATCTATCACAAGAAGGTAATTCTCCTTACCGTTGCCAACTTATCGATATCTTCATCAGAGGCTCCCAGTGAAGCCAGGCCGATTTCTTGAGAAAACTGCGCAAAGCTCGGATTGGCTAGTAGAGGCATGTGACCGAGTAACTCATGGCAGCAATCACTGAGAAGAAATATATATTTTTTAGCAAATCAAGTCGTTGCACAGATTTATGGGACGTGTATTAAAATCCAGCGGCCGCTATAAATGAGACGTTGGCCCTCCTATTATTTAACCGCGCTAGAAATAAACTGCTTTATTTTCCTTCATCGCATAGCAAAGTCAAGACCATAGTCCGGTAATGAGGTCGAGTATTTTATTATGTGATTAAATACAGCAGTGCTATTTTTAAGAACCGCGGTATTCGCGCTGTGATTTGAAATTAGAAAATCACAGTAATATTATAAAAGCGAAAGTTTGTGAGTGTGTATGTTTGTTACTTCTTCGCGTCTAAACGGCTACAGCGATTTGTATAAAATATGGTATGGAGTTAGCTGACACCCTGGATTAATACATAGGCTACGTTTTACTGCGGGAAAATATCCCTAATAAACCGCGGATAACAACGCGGGGCACAGCTAGTTTTAAATAATTTTCAAACTATACGGGCGAAGTCCGCCCTGAAAAGTGAGTTTATCCTTACAAAATAGCACTGCTGTATTAAATCGCTTACGGTGACTACCTAAAGACAGTTATTGGACAAACGTGTAAATATTGGGTAGAGGCTTAGCCGTTGCATACATACGTAAGTCTATCAAAGCATAGTTGTAGCCAAGGCTTGTTTAGTACTGTTCTTGAACATGCTTGGAAATTTGAGCAATAATTGGACAACCCCTTTTAAGATAAATCGAAAGTAATGTATTGGAAGAAAACACGCAAGCAGCGGCCGACAAATGTTATATGAATATCCAGGTAGTAGTCAATAAGGCCAGTACAATTTCGATTTATCTCTAAGAAAGTTGTTAAAATAATGAGCATATTTCCAAGCATGTTTGAGAAAAGTAAATTTCCTAATGTAAGCTTGAATAATCTATTAAATATTAAAAGAACCTCACTATATGGAGGAAAATTATCCTGCAATTGAAAAGAAACCGATCATTATCTTATAAATATTAAACTATATTTTTACTTATTTAGCATACCTAAAATAACGGCAAAATTACTACGGCATTCGCCGTTTGACAATGTCCCTGTGGCTTCATTGTCTGAATAAGTTTAATCTGTTAATGTCACTTTTGTTTACATTTTGAACAGTGATAAATTTGTATGGTAAACCTGTGCCAACTTTAGAAATATACAAAAAAATTGCGTCCCGGTAACCATTTATTATAACGATATAAGTCATGGTTACCGTTTTTTTAACAGTCAAGGCCTCATCAATGGTTATAATGTAATATATACCAGTTCTTAAATAAACGTGTGCACGGACCACACAAATCTGAAGTGAAACTTCGTTTCTTAAATAACCTAACATTAGGCGGTGCATAAGGCATAGGGGAATGGAGCAGCGCACGCTTCACTCATATATATATATATTGCCGCGTGTGATGCTTTTTTGCGAATGAACAAAATTATTTGTATTAATTTTAATTTAAAAATACTTATTGTGAAGTGTTAATCAGAGAAATGAGAAGGAGGTTTTTGTATGAAAATAATTTGCAATATCTTTTATCAAATGTAGCAAGGTAATGACGTAGTCGGAGTTCTTATAATTTTCAAGATTGTGACTTTATCAAAAGTTCCCGAGCCTATTTCCATAGAAATTATATATATTCAGCTATCCAGCATTAAATATTACTAAGTACAATATTTATACATTGCTAAGGCAGTCGCTCAAACACAATTTTACCATGGCCTTTCTGTTTACAACTTGTTGATCTTTTCGCAATTGTACCTATCTCTTCTATTCTGTAAGCCTGCATAACATGAATAATGAATACTGAACAGCTGAACTTATCTTTAAGCTCGGATGGCAGCTTTCCAATACCCACTTACAGTATACTCCTTTTGCGCTAAGTAACTATCCAGGTCGATTAATATTAATCAAAGGCGTTCGAAGTAAATGGTATATTCCAACTAGCTAGTGACCGCGACTTTGTCTGCTCAGAAAAATTTACTACGCACACAAATTTTCACCGCTTTAAAAGATAATTTCTGGGATAAAACTAGCCTATGTCCTTCCCCGTGACTCAAACTATATCAATTTATTTATTTATATTTTATATTTTGTATACCAATATTTTTTTCAATGTTTTTTACGCACAACAGTTATTAAATAAAACAAGTTTCAACAGTATAGATGCACTGATTTATTTGTGTAGTGACGTTTCGCATATTTTTTATGCTACATCGTCAGAATAATGATTTTATTTACTTTGTCGAGCTACCTTCGAAGGCTTTTATTGAACGTTCGTTTACTTCATTGGAAAGAAAAGAAAAAGAAAAGATATTTTTTTATTTGTAACAACATGTGTTAAAAAAAAAATTAGGAAGATATTTAAAACTTTATTGTCTATTTATGAATATATTAGCTAATTTAATTAATATCAATAAACAAATAAATCACTGCATCTATACCGTTGAAACTTGTTATTTTTTATATGTATACCAAATTTCATTTATATCGGTTCAGCGGCTTAAGCGTTCAGAGCTAACAAGCAAACAGAACTGTCGGATTTATAATGGTATTATGGATAATACCATTATAAATCCCCCCTCCCCCCTGACAAGACAAGTCTCGGGAATCACTCTCCTCTTTATAGAATGTTTTCTTCAAACTATAATACTATGGAAATGATTTCGACATATATAAAGGTCTTTTAGCCTCAACCAGAAAATGTTTAGAATCAATATTCTTTGATTAACTGTTCATTTTAACTTTTTATTTAAAGTACTGAGTATAACCTATATGTGTTATATATTAATTACTTAGTAGTTACGTAATATTAGAAATGTATGTTGTGCTTGCATCGATTAGGTTGCAAAGTACATGGATATTCTTTGAACCAGCTTTGTGAGCCAAATCGAAAGTACTTACGGCTCTGGTGTGTAGAAGGGATCGGAGGAGTGTCTTATGTACTGGGTACAGTGGAACACACGAAAAGCTAGTCCAGATAGAAAGTCCCTTGGAGACAGGTAGCCAGCCACAGGTCGCAGTTGAAACCCGGTTTTACGCTTCAAGAAAATGCTTACGTCTTCCAGCTGTAAGGAAAGCTTCTTTTAATACATGATGTTTATTGATAGCTTTTAATGTAGGTAGCCGATAGCAAAGTGGATTCATAACAAAATTAAAACAAGTCAAGCTAACTATAAAATGTGCCCATTAGGTAAAAAAAACTTAATGTAACGTGAAATACTAAAATTGCAGTTCTGCAACTCATTCCGTTTACGATTTAGTGACCCGTGACATACAGACAGACAGACAGAGTGACAGCAATAGGTTTCCGTTTTTACCCCTTTGAGTAGGGTATAAATATTCAATAAGGAAGAAAGGGGGCAAAGTTGTAATTTTTAAACTTTTGAGATACTTTTTTTGCCGGGAAGCGTTATGATGTCCTATTTTATCCCAGATTTCTAAGCAATAAAGTGTTTAAATATCTAAATGATAATAAACTTCAGAAAGTTATTTAGTCTGTCTTCATTAGTTCGTAATACCAATAACTCTTCAAGCTTCACAAATAACAACTTATGCACATGGAGTGCTAACCGAGAATATGTTCCACGAAGTTCAAATACCTGTGGCAGATTATCCTCCCTGTAGCCACAGTATTTCACTAGTTGCGGCCAATTTTCCAGATACTCCTCGCAGGCGTGCTTCTGGTAAAGTTTGCGTAGTTCACGGAACACAATTCCCCTGTAACCGTCGTTCTAACTTCAACAACAAGGCAATAGCTCTTTGAACTCAAAACCGACCAATTCTGTTTGAAATCCAGTCTGCCTTACCATGGAAAGCTTTTGGCTTTTGAATTGAAACAGAATTGAAACAATATTTATTGCTAATTAATTGATTGATATTCAAGCTGTCACACTTTTTATGTAACTAAGGTCCACTTGCAGCATATTTGCTAAATCTTAATTTAACTAGAACTAGATTTAACCCATACAATACATTGACACCTTGACATTTTTCTATGAGTTGAATCAAGTCTTTGTTGAATCGAGATTAAGCAAATATGCTGCATGTGGGCCTTGGAAATAATCTAGTTTTGTTAAATGGAAAGATATATATACCTATTTACATATAAATATAATAATAGTTATAGAAAAAAATAACCATTTGTCAAAATTACATACATTGAATATTTATTTGACGTGATATTAACTATAAGTAGTCAAAAACTATGGATGAAACAACGCGTCCTAATTAGTTTTATTGAAAATGATGTCTTGATCATATATTAACATCAAAACAATGAAAGCCCCCACAGAAATTGCAATGAGTATAACGATATCGCCAGCTACCGCGAAGAAAATAATATTTTTCGTTATTTGGGTCAAATCCATTTATCACCTGTATATGTTTAAGTATCGTAAGAAATAGGTGAAAGCGAAATTAATTATTCCTGGACGTCGGAAGTGAGAAACTGAGTTTCCGCTTGCACATATTTTTTTATTTATAGTGATGACTGAAATCACTCAGCCTTAATATTTTAACGTAAATGATGAGAACGATGATGATCCTTGCACGAAAAGAAATGCAAAAATAACAAACTCGCACATTGAAAACTATCGTGTATGCCATTTTATCTTTAATAAATTTGTAAAATGACATATTCATATCAAAACAATCGCAAGAGCTAAACATTCGCACACAAGATGTTATTAGCTGACTTCAATAAGGAAGGTTTTGAATTCGGCCGATATTCTGTTTTTTCCCTTAAAGTGATGTAAGCCACATTTAGCAAATTATATATATACATACTTTAAGATACAAAATCTTGTATTCGAAAACTTGTGCATAGCTCACACACACACATAAATATATATCTTCTTCTTCTACACACACTTAAAACGAATTATTATTAAACTACATTATCTCTATTGAGTTAAACCAATTAACAATAAAAGAGTGATTTAGTGACGAATGGTTTTAGCTCATTTTGGATTTAAGATGACAAGACACATTTTTCTTTTCTTTATTTTTCAAATCCAAATTGAGAAAAAACCATTCGTCACTAAATCACTCTATTATTGTTAACTGGTTTAACTCAATAGAGGTAATGTAGTTTAGTAATAATTTAATTCTAGAACAAAAGCAAAAGTGACTCTTTTAAACGCCTTTTAATAGGTTTACCGAACGAAGTCTGTAGACGATCCTTTCAACTATATCCTAAAGTTGGCTAAGGTTCACAAACACCTTGTAAGAAAATATTAGGTGCTAAAACAAAATAAAACTGCTTAAAACTGTTACTTACTGTCGCTTACAGTTTAGGAACATCTGGGCTAATTGGTGTGAGTGTTACACATACATACACATATAAGTAAACATACATCTTAACATGATATAATAAGAACGGTGATATTTAAGAAAACATACGTAAACGCTACAAATTCGCTCATAAGCCAGCACAAAAGCCATTAAAAACTAAATTAGTCAATCTAAAGAGAATTTTACTAAAAAAAATCCACGCGAAGCAGGCAACAGATGGGAATGAATACGTTTACAAATATTAAGATTACAAATATTTGAAAGAAGGACAAGCGAAAAACTAGAAAGAAATCCACGCGGACCGTTCGAGTCCCGTCTGCTGCCTATTCCGCGTGTATTTTTATCTAGATTTTTTTTTATATTAAACATCTACTAGCTAGCTATTAACTGCTTAAATAATTAAATTAGTCAAGTTTATTATTAATACAAGAGGTGAAATGCCTATTCTCCGTTTCCAAAAGCCCCATAAAATTACATGAAATATCATCAAATAGCGAATCCAAAAAGTAAGCTTATTTTTGGAGTGAAAACTTCTTTAACGGCGTTGTACATTTTTTTGTAATGGGCAAAAATTGTTAAACGCGCGTCAGGTCACGTGGCCTGATCGCGTCAGCACACGTGGCCTGATCGCGTCTGGACACGTGACCTAATCGAAAATTCGTAAGACGAAAACAATAAAATTGGAAAGGTTTTTTACTCTCAATATATTGGACGAAACATATTAATATTTTATTTTATCGTATTATAATAATAAGTCTCTATCTAGAACGCCCAGGTGGCAGCTTTATTGCGAAGAACATGCATTTTTTTTACAATAGATGTCAGTAGGTGCGCTTAAATGTGATTCATGTAAGTTGATTTTTCTGAGAGATAAAGTTTTTAATGTAATATAAATTATCATGATTGTATACGATAACGCAATAAATAAATATTTTATTTACACATAAATGATAGTACTTTTATACTGATAGTTAAAGTAATTCGTGCAAAATTATTCCCTAACCATTCCAAAATATCAAAAATGCACAACGTTAATATTCAAGCTTTCACTTCTGTTCGTTTTTTTTCTTTACAAGTTTAATGGAACAAGGTAGCAAATTTATTGGTACAGGGTACAAGAGTTCTTTAAAAATTACATGACTCCAAATTAAAGTCACATCAATCTGCACAACGCTTGTTTGCGTTAAGATAACTTACGATAACTTACTTCTCATAAAAACAGCGAGACGACCTTTGTAATTTAATGAAATTTAGGGCTGCATTCACACGTATATATCCATCTATTAATATTTTTGTCGGTAGTGGTTAGCTGGGAGTGCACAGCATCGATACACTCTTTGTCAGTGCATGTATAGAAGGATCAGTACCCCTAGCACGATCCATTATCGAATTCGAATAGCTTGCAAGTTCGAAATGTCACTGTCAAATGTGTACTGATTTTTAGTTCAAGTAAGTTACTTCCGCTGTGGCGCTGATGTTCAAGTTTCCATACAAAATTTGATAATGGCATTTTGGACTCGCAAACTACTCGAATTCGATATTAGTTCGTGCTAAGGGTACAGTGGGTAAGTAACTAGCAACAGTTCTGAAATAGATGAATCGATCACCCCTGTCTTAAGATCAACATTTCATTTCGTTGAGTCCTGTCCTACTCTAAGGCCCGTATTATAGAATGATTCTCAGTGATTGATCTAGTCTTGAGCACAGTTAGAAAGAGATGTCGCTATATATAGCACATAGCGATATCCCTTTCTAACTGTACTCAGTAAACATCAACACTTAGCTGTCATTCTGTAATACGGGCCAAAGTCATTTAAAACAATGTAAGTCACAGTAGGATGGAAGAAAATGACTAATCCAATATATAAGAGTCAACTATAAGAATACAAGCGTTACTAACATTTATTTTGTCAATTTGATGTTGAGATAACCACGTTCAAAAACATAAGGTAAAATCTTTAGACGTTTTACAAAAATATGTTGAGGATAATGTTCTTATTTGTAAGTACCTATTATTAGAATGTTCGTCTCGCTGTTTGCGAGACTGCTGGTCTTATAAAATGAGTACTTTATAAGACCAGCAGGCGGCGAAAATAATTAAGAAGCGTATAACATAAACGCAATGCTAGTAAACTAACCATGTCTTTATTTCCGATTCCGTGTACTGGACCTTGGGGATCGGCTGACCACTGTAACATAATATTTTATTGACCATCAGCATCTCTATTCTCGAATAACTCATTGCTTTTACAAAAGTTCACTTGAGATAGAGTAGGTAAATAACCTATGCAAAAAATATTTACAAATACAATGTATCGAGATTAAATGGTACCTAGTAACTCGTTTATAATCTGCTTAAAAAGCTCTTGAAACTTCTTGTAAATCTTTATCAAAAGTAATTAATGTCGCCAAACAACATTTAGCCCTAAATAATGTTTTGTAGGTAGTTTCTATATATGTCGAAACTTTACCAAAGGATTACAGAATGGGTTCCTTTACAGCTTAAAAGTTTCTACAGGGTCAGTGAGGCACGAAAGTGATGGCTTACGGGCAGAATATATATAGGTAGCAAACAAGACGTTTATAAATACATCAAATACTTGTTTACAAACAAAAATATGGGCTACTATTTTGATTGTTTGGTGACAATTATTGTTAAATGAGCTTATATAAGGAGCTCAGGTCACTCTTTAAAGGCAGGAGCATTTAAAGAGTGACCAAAAAACTATTATCGTGAGCTCCTCCGTGCTTCGGAAGGCAAGTAAAGTAGTTGGTCCCGGCTGCATCTGCAATCGTTAGCGCAATACGCACTGGGTTCACGTGGTGAATCATGGCCCAATCTCCCTATTCCATCTATAGGAAAGGCTTGTGACCTTAATAGGCTGGTGATGATGAGCTTATATAATACAACAATAAATAATAGACGATACTTGCGATTTATAGTTTTTGGCGAGCGCTGAGAAGTGCTCGCGTCTTTTGCGGTAAACGGGATCCTTGAACCCTGGGTGGTCGGCGTCCAGCTCAGAGCCGTACATGAGCACATTCTGAGCCCGATCCAAATCTGAGATCTTACGAGGGAACCACGGCATCTCGCCAAAGTCTGAAACCAACATAAAGGTAATGGTTAAAGTGACACAAAAACTGTTTTAATGCATTAGTATAGGTATCTCGACCAGCAGATATAGACGGAACCTAATACCAAATTGTGTCTACTACATATCTGTAATTTTCAACCGGATTTAAAAGGGACGAGTTCCTCAACTCGGCTGTATGTTTTTTTGTGTGTTTTGTTGTTTTTTTTTGTGATTTAATTGAGGGCCGCTTTTCGAAATTATTTTTGTAATCGCAAGAATATACCCATAAATATAATTGACATGATCTGATCAAGGACAAAGGAGATGTAGAACGGAAGTCCTGGTAGGATAATATCAGAACATTTGTAACGTGTAACATTGCTTTGCATCAAACTATTTTAACTTTTTGGGATCATCTCGATTTCCTAAGCTTTATTTTAATTTATTTTTTCACTAAATCAATATTTCTAACCGTTACACCAATAAGCAAAGTAATCACTGTAAGGCTTGTGTTATGGGTTACTGGGATAACGGATAGAATACATAATATATGCTGATACATACATAAGAATATTTATCTAGAAATATATATAAACATCCATGACTTAGGTAGAAATGCTCGTATTCATTATACTAACATTTGCCCACCGAGATTCGAACCCGGCTGAGAAGGCAACATATTGAAACCACCAACACATACCACTCGCGCTCTGAAGGTCGTCTTTATCCAGTGGTATGTAAGATAGAAAACTGGAAACGTTGTTAATTAATAGACTTAATGGTCGCGAACTGAATGAAATAACTTAATGACTGAACGTTTGAAAGATTAAATAGCGTTTTATCATTATCAATGGTTTATATATTACCCGGTGTGCACTTGACATTTGCCAAAATGACAGATAAGTAAACAATTAGGAACGACACTTGCTCTGGTGATAACGTTTTGTTTTGATGTGGCTTACCCTCGAAAATATCTTTAGAAAAATTAAATAAATAGACAATGAACCTTTGGGGTCACTGACGAAATACCTAATTGAAACAACAAAACGACTAAAATGAGTTTGATAAGATGTTGTGTGCTGACATTGATACGTGATCAATCCTGACTGAAAATCCCTCAGTCACACTTTTGTAGGTCACAGTCAGAATAGGGGACATTGAAGTATTGTATAAGTAAGAGCAATTGCAGTTTTATAAGAAAAAATAATAATATTTTAACGTGTATCGGCATAGTCATCAAAAATTCATTATACTAAGTACTATACATTTCTTTGCGATACAGAAGTTATAAGATCTAACAAATACACAGTCAGGTCATAAGTACTGTCACACAGTAAAAGTTTTCTTTTAGAATGCTGGCCACAAAAAAGTTTATTGAATTCGAATTTCGAATTGTTCATGAAAACAAAAATATATATACTTTTTAGAATTTTACTCATTTTTAAATATGGAGTGGAAGCTTAAAGAAGACCGTGTTGCAGTTATTGCGTTGCATCATTGCGGTTACGCGCCAATTCAAATTTTTGACATACTGATAAATTTGAATATAACCAAAAGATTCGTTTGTCGTACCATCAAACGATACAATGAAGACTCTAGTGTAGATGACAGGTCAAGAAGTGGTCGCCGTCGGTCTGTTAGGACTCCAGCAGTGATAAAATCTGTGAAGGCGCGAATTCAAAGAAATCCCAAACGTAAGCAGAAACTGTTGGCGATTCAGATGGGGTTAAGCAGAACCACGGTGAAAAGGGTGTTAAATGAAGATTTAGGGCTTCGGGAATATCGAAGAAAAACAGGACATCGTTTGAATGCTCGTCTAATGGACCTGAGACTGAAGAGATGCCGCGCTTTGTTGGAGCGGTACGCGGGAAAAAAATATCGGGAAATTCTTTTTTCGGATGAAAAAAATTTTACCGTAGAAGAGAGTTACAACAACCAAATGATAAGCTGTACGCAGACAGTAGTGAAAAAGCGAGCAACCGTATTCCGCGTGTCCAACTAGGTCATTTGCCATCCTCGCTCATGATATGGTTGGGAGTTTCTTATTGGGGCTTAACAGAGGTAAATTTTTGTGAGAAAGGTGTAAAAACGAATGCAGTTGTTAATCAAAATACAGTCCTGACAAACGTTGTGGAACCTGTTTCTCATACTATGTTCAATAACAGGCCAGTGCCTGTTATTGAACATAGTATGAGGGTATTCCAACAAGATTCGGCGCCAGCTCATAGAGCGAAGAGCACACAAGACTGAAATCGGCGCGTGAAATCGACTTCATCCGGCACGAAGACTGGCCCTCCTCCAGTCCAGACTTGAGTCCGTTAGATTACAAGATATGGCAACACTTGGAGGAAAAGGCGTGCTCAAAGCCTCATCCCAATTTGGAGTCACTCAAGACATCCTTGATTAAAGCAGCCGCCGATATTGACATGGACCTCGTTCGTGCTGCGATAGACGACACATAACAGTTATGTATGAGATTGAATTTTTTTTTTGAAAGGGCGGCAAACACGGTGGGTCCTCCTGATGGTAAGCGGCACCATAGACTATAGACGAATACTAAAAATTTCACTCACACCGTTACCTACCCTGACCTAAGCCCCTACCCCGTAAAACCCTGAACCTTACACACCGACACAAACAACTACACCAAAAGGTAGTACCTATGGAAAAAAAGTAATCGGAGAGAATTACCGACCTAGAGGACCTCGACTTTCACATTATCTTAATATTTCATATCAATGTTTACAAATATCCGAGCACCGCCTTTTCAAATTGATTATTTATCTCATGCCATTTGTGTTGTTTTTTCTTCGCTTCTTGCATCATAACTATCAAAAATATAATCATTGTCTGGACCCAGGCTTTCCCCATTGCTTTCGTCATCCATCGATTATCGGTTCTAATGCACCACGAGGGCCCTGTGTAAATTTGTAAAAGCAAATACTTGCGAAAACAGTTAAATCCAACGGTTTTATTAATCTTCAAAAGCCCGGATGGGATTAATATAAAACATGGTCACACATCTATTGTAGTAGGTTTTCATTGATTTATTATCACAATAATGAATATAAGTTTCTCAATAGATAAATTAATTAATAAGATTTGTAGTTTTTTAGTAACGTCTAATGAAAATATGAAAATTATCATTGAACGAAACCTTGAAAAAAAAAATTCTTTCGAACCCATTTTTAAAGAAGATAGTCCAAATTAAAGAGATTGAGATTTGTAAAGTAAAAGTTTCTATAAGGAATGAATGATAAAAGCTAATTTTAAAAAATGCAATAGTCACACTTCGAATTATTAAAATACACATTACACATACTACCATGCGCTTGACATAAAAAATGAGTCTTTGACAGAAGCACTAAAGAATCGGATTTTGGCGACACCGAGTTTAATAGACATAAACAAACATAATCTTGCTTATAAATTACAATAACAAAGTGATTTTATTTTAATTGCATAAAGGGTAGGTAAAAGATTTCGAACGCTTTTAACTTTGTCTCCCTTTAGTGATTGAATGGTCCTATTCAAATTTGAGTTTCTTTTGTTTGGCTTTAAGAAATTTCGTAACTGTTTGATTAAATATTGTCAATGCTAACATTGACGAAGTTTGTAATTAAAAAAAAAATAAGAATATAACCAAAACAAATTTTCTTATTTACACTCAAAGGTTAAGAACGTCACTTCTTACCTGAACTCCTTATTAAATTAATTAAATGAAACTGACAAAAACTGCGTGAGATATTCGCGTAACAGTTGCTCCGCCCGCTTCATATAACACACATATGAGTGAAATACGTAGTGTTATGATAGCCGCCTTTATATACATGAGATTTACGAGCCATTAAAAAAAAATAGCAGGAAACAAATAATTTAAAAACATTCATATTTCGCATCAGTCTTCGACAGGGTAAAACTTTGTAACGGTAAAATTTGACATATATTTTTGACGATGAAACTTTTCTAGCGATCATTGTGTAAAGATGTAATTGTATTATCCTACTATATCCTTCTATTATTATAAATGTGAAAGTTTGTGAGTTTGTTACTCAATCGCGCAAAAACTACTGAACTGGTTAGGATGAAATTTGGTACGCATAGTTATGACCTGGATTGAGTCATAGCATACTTTTTATCCCGGAAAAATGTTAGGTTCATGTGGGAATCTTACAAAACTACAGTAAACGCGGACAAAATCGCGGGTGGCAGCTAGTATCAATATTATTGTTACTTACATTCAATATTTATTTGTAGTATGTGCATGTTCTTATAATGAGTACCCATTTAGTCAACTGAATTATGCAGAGCTGTATTAAACCTTTTTTTATTATTATTTAATGCGATTTCCCCATTCAGTGGCAGGAATTTCTTATGTTTATGCTATAATCATACATTTTTTTTTCGTTTATTGTTACAATAATTTCATCTTAATTCTATTTTCAATGATTTACTGGTTTTTATATCTATCTTCTTTTCGCTCTCTTATTAATAATTTTATTACAATTATGCCACAGTTAAACATTTTCTTTTCGTTTCCATTCTAATATTTTACTCTTATATCTATCTACAATTTAATTTTTCAATTTTACATTTATTTCCTTATTCTGATCACTATTGCACTTAAGTCCTTATACATTTATACATTTAATAATTTTATTAGTTTTGCTCATTTTTAATATACATTATCTTTCAACGTTTATCTGTACTGTATTTTATTATTTGTTATAATGTGTTTACTTAGTAACTATATTCTCTTTCATATTTAACAAAAAACTTTGTCCGTAACTAATTTCTTTACTATCCTCTGCAAAACCCTGCATAATTTAAAAAAAATGATGCTAAGGTTTTGCTGTATTCTGTTATTCTTTCCTTGTTTTTTATTTTCAATATATCTTGCATAGCTTGTATTCTGTCAGTCGCCACTTCCTTTCACTTTCTTTTTTCTATCATCACTCCTACATTCTTCTTTTTCTTTCTTCTCTGTATCCCCCTTTTCTATATTACTCTCTATCTTCTTTATCCT